TTCCGCTTTAGATCTGTCAATAACAGATTCAAATCTCTTAAACGAATTTACGTGGTCGGTCCTCAATGACTTGTGTGGAAGCGACCATTTTCCTACAATATTAACAGCAAATAATCCATCTGATGTTCCACCTACATCAAGGTGGAATTTTACCAAGACCAACTGGCCTTCCTTTCAGGAACTCTGTACAGACAGATTAACACCTGATTTGTTCAGGACTGTTACCGACCCAATCCAATCGTTTTTGGATAAGCTGAATGAAATTGCTGATATCACCATTCCTAAGTCCTCTGCAAATCCACACATTCGAAAACCATAGCTCGAAAAAGAGTGCAAACAGGCTAGGAAGTGCAGGAAAAAAAGCGGAGAAATCTTTCCGCAGACATCCAACTGTTCATAATCTAGATCGTGTTAAAATCACAAATGTCAAGGAACGCCGTACTTTCAATCAGAATAATCGTAAGTCTTGGAGGAACTATGTCTCTAAAATTAATTCTTGCACACCAATATCAAAGGTGTGGAACATGATAGCAAAAATTAAAGGCAAAGGGTTAAAATCGACTGTCCACAATCTCAAGGAAGGTGACCATCTTTTAACAGATAAATTGGACATTGCCAATAAATCAGCTCTTGAAGCATTTGCCTGATTCATTTTTAGAGACATTACTCAATATATGTGATCACATTTGGACATCGGGAAATTTCCTTCCTTCGTGGCGTAATGCAATAGTTGTTCCCATACCTAAACCTGGTAGGGACCATACTGATGCATCCAATTATAGACCAATATCACTAACTAGCTGTGTGTGCAAAACCATGGAACGTATGGTAAATAATCGACTGCTGTGGTACTTGAAAACACAATCTTATACATAACATTCAATGTGGTTTCCGTCAAAATAGAAGTACCATTGACCATCTGGTACGTTTAGAATCCTTTGTAAAAAATGCAATTGTCAATAATCAAGCAGTTTCAATCTTTTTTGATTTAGAAAAAGCGTATGATACCACATGAAAGCATTGTATCTTAAAAGATCTACATAATTTGGGGTTAAGAGGCCGTTTGCCTCTCTGTTTAGCATCAAGATTGATAGTCTGTCAAAGGTTTTGAATGATTCCGTTGATGGTTCACTTTTTGTGGATGATTTTAATATTTCATGTCGTGGAAAAAATATGCGTACCATCGAGAGACAGTTGCAGCTATGTCTCAACAAAATCGAAAAATGGTGTCTTGAAAATGGTTTAAAATTTTCAAAAGCTAAGACCAATTGTATTCATTTTTGTAGGAAATACAAGCACCACAAAGATCCAGAGCTCTTTTTACATGGCACTCCGATCAAGGTTGTAGAAGAGGCCAAGTTCCTTGGTCTCATTTTCGATCACCACTTAACTTTTAAGCCACATATTAACTATCTTCAAACTAAATGCCTCAAGGCTCTAGATTTGTTGAAAGTTGTTGCCAACACAAAGTGGGGAGGTGAACCCTGTTACACTTGTATGGCTCCATCGTTAATGGTGGAGCCTGTAAGAGAGCAATTTACAAGTTAGATTCTATTCACCATCAGGGCCTACGACTTTGTCTAGGCGCATTTCGAACATCTCCCGTGGAAAGCCTATATGTTGAAGCTGATGAACCTTCATTGAAGCAACGGCGTATCAAATTATCGCTTCAATACATTGCAAAATTACGTTCTAACCCGTTAAACCCTGCATATAACTGTATATTTCAACCCCTTTACGAAGAACTTTTTCACAGTAAGCCTAAGCTGGTCCCACCACTAGGCATTCGGATTAAAGCCCACATTACAGCTGCAAATATTGATTTGGATAATATTTCACCTTTCAGCCTTCTGTCTTCCCCTCCTTGGCAACTTGTCAGACCGGAGGTACACAATTTAAAATATCAGACACAAACCATTAATATACCAACAAGAATATATACAAGATAGAACTAAATGGGGGGGGGGGGGGGGGGGGGGGGGGGGGGGGGGGGGGCACGGGTGGCCCAGTCGTCTAAGGCGCCGCGATTCGCTGTGCAGAGTTCCGTCCCTTGGGCACGCCAGAAACCTATGATTGTGGGTTCGAATCCCGGTTCGCCCCGATTATGTTTCTAGGTTTGTCAGCACCATACCCGTGCTCGTGGGTTTCACCGAAGTGGTAAACGTCTGAGACCTGCATCACTTCGGGCTTTCCTCCCACATTAAGCTGTCACGCCGCGATATAACTGGAATACTGTTAAAAGCGGCTTTAAACCTAACTCACTCACTCACTAGAACTAAATATGAGTCCCACCGTTCCATTTTTACAGATGGATCCAAGGTCGGCAGCACAGTCTCCAGTGCTGCTGTCATTGGATCTAAAACCATATCATTCTGATTACCTGACCATAGCTCAATTTTCACAGCTGAAGCTAAAAGCCATTTTAGTGGCTTTGGAATATATTTAAAAACAATATAGACGTAAACGGTTCATCATCTTTTCAGATTCACTTTCTTGTTTACAGGCAATCAAATCGTGCTCTTCAAGTCATCCATTCATTTTAGGTATTTTAGAATTGTACAATGACCTTGCTACTGGCCAACACGACATCGTCTTTTGCTCGTTGCCCAGTCATGTTGGAATCACGGGTAACACTATGGCTGATGCTGCAGCAAAAGCAGCTCTCAGCAAATCTGTGACATCACTTCTTCTACCATACAGCGACTACAAACCTTTAATTAGATGCTATATCAAAGACCTTATGCAAAAGAAGTGGGACACCCAAGTAGGTACTAATAAATTACATGCAATAAAACCAACTATCTGTTACACTTACTTGGGTTGTCAGTCCAGATTTGAAGAGGTCATTATGCGACGATGTCGTATTTGCCATTCGCGTTATACACATGAGTATTTATTAAAAGGTGAAGATCCTCCATTTTGTATCCCTTGTAATGAAAGAATCACCGTCAAGCATGTCCTGCTTGACTGTATTGATTTTTTCATCACAAGGAATAATTATTTCCAGGTTTTATCCATAAAGGATCTTTTTAATGTAAGTTCTCATTTAATTCTTGGTTTTTTAAAAGAAATTGAGTTAATAGATAAATTTTGATTATATGTATAGTAAAAAGTATGTGATTTTAATTTGGGAGAATGATTCGATAACTGTGATTGTTTGTGGCTTTACCTTCAAAGGGGGTTGAAGTATCGTAAAATAATTCCCCCCCTGAGAGGGTGCGTGAGTCCCACTTCCTTCAAAGAATGATTGATTTTCCTGGATTTTAATCGTAGTATGCTTGTTGTTTTTAAATACTTTGGCTTCAAATGTCTAACAATCACTAGTAGCCAGAGGGAGGGTGTAAATCCTGCTGGGGTACAATGCAGGAAGCAGATGTACCGTAAGTCCCCATGGTCCCTAGTATGGTGTCCTAACTTTGGTTGTTGGTGATCTCTAGCCCATTTTTATAATGTATTGTTCAGAGTAGTCACATTTTTATTTTAACATGCTAGTTTAAAGTCTATATCTGTGATAGACTAGTGCTTTTACTGTCCTTTGTAGACAGATTTTAATATCTATGTGAAAGTATTATTACTGTATAACTTGATTTAGTCACTATATGGCTGAAATATTGCCGATGTGTCTTTAAATCTTAACTCACTCACTCACTCAAAGTTTCATCCTTAAAGGATCTTTTTAATATCAGTGCTCGTTTAATTATTGACCATTTAAAAGAAATTGAATTGTTACTTAAATTTTGATTGTATATAATATAGTTTTTATAATTGGTAAAATAAATTTGATAACTGAGATTGTTAGTGGCTGTATCCTCGAAGGGGGTTGAAGTAGTGAAAAATTATTGTCCCCCTGAGAGGGTATGTAAGACCACATCTTTCAAAGTATATTGATTTTGGCCACGTTTTTAATAGTAGTATATATGTTCGTTTAACTTTGGCTAAATTCGTTATAATCGCCAACAGCTGAAGGGATGATATAAATCCGGCTGGGGTCCAAGCAGGTAGCAAAAGTACTGTAAGTCCCCATGGACCCTAGCATGGTGGTCTACCTTCAGCTGCTGGCGATCTATAGCCTGTTTTTATCTTGTATCGTTATGTATAGTGCTATTCTCTTTTATAATTCCGTACTAGTTTTATATCTTATTCTGTGATGAATCTAGTAATTTTGCTGTCCTTCGTTGACAGGTTTTTAAACAAGTTTCAGTATATGTATTATGTTTAACTATTGATAGACACGATATGGATGAAATATTGCCGATGTGACGTAAAATTTTAACACACTCACACTCAATTTTGTGTTCTACTCCGGAAAAGAAATGTGACGGACGGAAGGACGCACGGACGGCACCCATTCCTATATCCCCCTTCCACTTCGTGGCGGGGAATACCGGGTAATAAGCTGTGGTGACTGCAGTTAATGAAAAGACAATGTGATGTCAAATGCAGCATAATGGCTTCATAGGCAATGTTAGCTACGGCCAACATGACCTGCTATGATTCCACCAGTGCTGACGAAGTTGAAAGACTTTTAGCAAAGAGTCCCACAGAATCTTGAAGTCTAGACCCGTGTCCAACATGGCTACTTAAACAGTGTCAAGGTATTCTCTTACCAACCCTCACTGCAACAGTAAATCGCTTGCTCAGCACGAGGCACTGACAGAAGCACTGATAATGCCTGCACTGAAAATTCCGTCACTGTGTTCAAGAACTATCGTCATTATCTTATAACTACCCTTCCTTGATCGAGCAGGTGGAGATGTCCTGCAATCGGGTTATGACTGTTCTCAGCACAGAAAACACAGACCTACTTAACTTCATGCTATGAATCCAAGGGAGCGGCGATTCTCGTCATCTTGGATCTGTACTTAATAACTAGATGTAATCATAGAACTTGAAGTCGACATACCCAAAAAAATGACGGCAATAGCAGTTTACTATTCTCTCTGTCAGACTGTGAGGTCGTGCTAATGGATTTATATGGAAGGAATCATATACAAAGTTGATTACGAACTAACGTTTATTCATATTTCCAATGCTTTCTTTATAGGTTGATGTTAATGACTAACTAATTTCCATCATCGTGTCGAACGTTGCTGTTAATGCACTCCAAATGAATGCATTCAATTCAGTTTATTGAGTGATCAAGCAAGGGGATCAAAGGCCTTGGGCACACATCTGTAGATCTCCATCTGCAAACAATCATGGAAAGTAATAATTTCTCAAAGGCTATGTGTTCCGCATATAACAATCAGTTGTTATGCATCCATTTATCATTAAACTACTTTATCACTGACATAATGCAGCTATCCATAACAGAGAGCTGAACGTTTGTGGTTCGATCATACTAAAAGGCGTTCAAAAGTCTCTCAGCATTAAGAGGATGACTGGTCACCTTGGCGTCTGAGTCGGGTATCCCTGTGAAACTGTACATGGCATCCTAGTACGTTAGCACAAAAACCAGCATTTGTCGGGGCCATTACAAGGAGTCACACACACACGTATATACAGGTCGTTAGAGAAGCGTAAGAATCTTGGAGGCGACGCTAAACCCTATTTCACCATAACAACTTAGAATAACCTTGTTCTGTAAAGTGCAACGGTACCTATTTTGACTACCAATCTCATTAAGATCAGACTTTAGTTCTCGCTACCGCTAAACAAAGAAGACATCCCATTTGGGGTCACGTCAGAACGACCTTTCATCCAACCAATCAGTGCGTCGCTTACCAGATTATGAAAGTGACAGTCGGAATGTGATTTCTAATCATGCAACTGTAATTACATGGGGTATTCCGAACGATAGTTACGGGTTACGGGTTTAACGACTGAATCCTTACAATCTAGACCATCTGTTGGCCATTCCAGAATGTTGTTTTTGTTCAGGTTTCAGATTTGTAATCGAGAATTTGTCAAAATATGTTTCGAAGCGTAGTCGCCAATTTGGAATTTGTGCCGTAAAGCACGAGAAAGCTGCCTTCTGATTGGTCATTCCATTGATCCGTCAAAGTTCGCGCAAGGTCGTTCTCACGTGACCCGTAATGGGATATCCTCAGATCTTTGTTTAGCGGTAGCGAGAACTAAGATCTGATTTTAATTAGATTGTTTGACTACATGAATCTTACAAAGACTGTACTATTCTCAGTATACATCATTCAATACATTGACATATTCTCAGTATACATCATTCAATACATTGACATAAGGGGTTGCATATACGTCAAGTTCATACTTTCATTGGGATATCTATTCATTATAAGTGTACATATGCCTCTTACCCCTTTTATTTTCCCTTTAAACCCGACACTACCATCACAGCCTGTGTTGCCAATAAGGAGCGGATGACTACGTTTTTGTATCACTCCTGAAAGAAATAGTATATATATATATATATATATATAATGCTTTACCTCGGGTATATACATTTTTGTGCCAGTTTTCATCTTTACGTCATAATGATGTCATTTAGAAATGTGGGCATTTCTCTTAGTTGTGGTCAGGAAAAGAAAACTATTAATTTTAAATCAGATAATTGGGAAGATTATAATGAAATATTTTCGATCCATGAACTTCTTACAGCTCTTGGACAAGCTCATGATACTGCTACAGGAGCTGATAATATACATCATCAACTCCTGAAGCACTTACCAGAATCGTGTTTAGAAACCCATTTGTTAATGTTTGATGATATATGGACATCAGGTAAGTTTCCTTCTTCCTGGTGCGATGCCATAGTTGTACCCATACCGAAACCTGGACGAGATCACAGTGACCCCTCAAATTATAGACCAATTTCATTGACCAGTTGCGTTTGCAAAACCATGGAGCGCATGGTCATAAACAGATTAACATGGTACTTGGAATCAAATAATTTAATTACAAATATTCAGTGTGGTTTTCGTAAGAATCGAAGTACCATTGACCACTTAGTTCGACTGGAGTCATTTGTAAAGAATGCCATTGTAAATAAGCAACATGCAGTGTCTATCTTTTTCGATTTAGAAAAAGCGTATGACACTACGTGGAAACACGGGATTTTAAAGGATTAACATGATTTTGGTTTGAGAGGTCGTTTACCTCATTTTATATCACAATTTTTAACAGACAGACAATTTCAAGTCCGAGTGGGTACCACCCTGTCTGACCATTATAATCAGGATCAGGGTGTCCCACAAGGCAGTATTTTGTCTGTTACCTTGTTTGGTATTAAAATAGTCTGTCCAAGGTTTTAAGCAATTCAGTGGATGGATCACTGTTTGTGGATGATTTTAATATATCTTGTCATGGTAAGAATATGCATACAATTTGAGAGGCAGTTACAAATCTGCCTAAATAAAATTCACAAGTGGTCTCTCGAAAACGGGTTTAATTTTTTCTAAATCTAAAACCAATTGTATACACTTCTGCAGAAAATTTAAGCCGCATAAAGACCCTGAATTATGTTTGAATGGCACCCCTATCAAAGTTGTAAAGGAGGCCAAATTCTTGGGCCTCATCTTTGATAGCCATTTACCTTTCTTACCACACATTAAATCACTTAAAGCTAAATGTCTGAAGGCACTCGCTTTGTTGAAAGTCGTATCTAATTCAAAGTTGGGAGGAGATCAGGCAACCCTCTTACAATTATACAGGTCACTGATCCGTTCAAAACTTGATTACGGCTCCATCATATATGGTGGAGCCTGCAAAATTAATTTTTAAAAACTAGATACTATCCATCACCAAGGACTGAGGCTTTGCCTTGGAGCCTTTCGAACTTCTCCTATTCCAAGTCTGTCTGCGGATGAGCCTTCTCTTAAGCAACGCCGCCTGAAACTATCTTTACAGTACATCACTAAATTATATTCTAATCAGTCAAATCCAGCTTTTAATTGCGTATTTAATCCTCTTTACGAAGATATTTACAATAAGAAAACATCTCTTGTTCCACCACTTTAAATAAGAATTAAATCTGTCGTTTCTGCTGCAAAGATTAATTTTCATGATATAGCTCCCATACAACTGTTTTCATCGCCCCCTTGGCAAATGGTAGGCCAAATGTAGACCTCACATTAACGAGACTTAAGAAATCTGATACAAACCCTCTGATTTATAAACAAGAATACAATCAATTACGAAACACATATGACACTTACAAATCTATATATACAGATGGGGCGGTCGGGTAGCCTAGTGGTTAAAGCGTTCGCTCCTCGCGCCGAAGACCCGGGTTCGATTCCCGACATGGGTACAATGTGTGAAGCCCATTTCTGGTGTTCCCCGCCGTGATATTGCTGGAATATTGCTAAAAGCGGCGTAAAACCATACTCACTCACTCATATATACAGATGGATCCAAGGATGGTGGCGCGGTTGCTAGTGCCACTGTCATTTGATCCAGAACAGTAACTTCACGATTACCCGATAATAGTTCAATCTTCACAGCAGAAGCACACGCAATTTTAACAGCTCTAAAATATGTCAAGAACCAATCCAAATATAAACAATTCATTATTTTTTCAGATTCACTCTCATGCCTTCAGGCTATTAAAAATATGTCTTGTAAACATCCATTTTTAATTGAAATTATTGAGTTATTTAATGATCTTGCTACTTGCCAATATGACATCGTCTTTTGTTGGTTACCAAGCCATGTTGGGATTGTTGGTAACACAATGGCTGCTGCTGCTGCTAAGGCAGCACTCAACAAATCTGTGAAACCCCTTCTTATACCTTATAGTGATTATAAACCTGTTATTAGATGTTTCATCAGAGATCTAATGCAGAAGAAGTGGGACACCCAAGTGGGTATAAATAAATTACATGAAATTAAACCAACTAGTGGCTACTCCTACTTGGGTTGTCAGTCCGGATTTGAAGAGGTCATAATGCGACGATGTCGTATTGGCCATAGCAGTAATACTCATGAATATATATTGAAAGGTGAGGATCCTCCATTTTGTATCCCTTGTGATGAGAGAATCACGGTCAAGCATGTCCTGCTTGACTGTGTTGATTTTGCCATCACAAGGGATAACTATTTCAAAGTTTCATCCTTAAAGGATCTTTTTAATATCAGTGCTCGTTTAATTATAGACTTTTTAAAAGAAATTGAATTGTTACTTAAATTTTGATTGATATGTTTTGATATATAATATAGTTATTATAATTGGTAAAATAAATTTGATAACTTAGATTGTCCGTGGCTCTACCATCGAAGGGGGTTGAAGAAGTGTAAAATTATTGTCCCCCTGAGAGGGTATGTAAGACCACGTCTTTCAAAGTGTATTTATTGCTACCACGTTTTTAATCGTAGAATATGTGTTGTTTTAATGTTCGGCTAATTGTGTCAGCCATCGCCAACACATGATGGGATGATGTAAATCCTGCTGGGGTCCATGCAGGTAGCAAAAGTACTGTAAGTCCCCATGGTCCCTAGTGAGGTGATCTATCTTCAGTTGCTGGCGATCTATAGCCTTTTTTAAATTGTATCGTTAGGTATAGGGAAATCTTTTTTTCTGGCTGTATACTAGTTTTAAATCCTATTCTGTGATCTTCTAGTTATTTTACTGTCCTTTGTTGACAAGCTTTTATTGTTTAAATGTATATATTATGTATAACTTTTGGTAGTCACGATATGGCTGAAATACTGCCGATGTGACTATAAATGTAAACTCACTCACTCCTAGTTGTGGTAATCTGAAGTATTTTTGGCACAAAAAAGCATAAATGCAAACCTTTCCATGGTATGGAGCCGATGTTCCCATCAACATATCCTTTGAATTGTTCACCATCATAAACGGCAGCAACTCTTTTGAAGAATGGTCCTCTCTGCAATGTTACAGGTAAACATAAACTTTGCGTTTTCATGTGAATCTTTGTACATAATCAGACAAAAGCAAACCTGAAATGAACGTATGCTATTGATATACAAGCGCTCTTACAGAGAGTCCAATTGGATTCCTATATGATAGTTATTGCTACCTCACTGGTTTAAACTGACGTGACAGAGTGAGCAAAATGTTCAAAATATTAATAACTGCATATTTTGTAGTCCTGTAATCAGCATCTTTCCAAGTATATCAGGTACTAGAGACATGTTCCAACCAGGGTCATTATCTACTCACTCGTTCTCGTGTCTCTATCAATTGCAATGGGCAAAAAACACATTGACCAATATAGTATGAGTGTGCAATCAGTCGCTATCCAATAATGAAAGTGTCCTCGTGGGGATTACGAGTCAGAGTTTTGTGGGTTCAGTTCACAAGATGATGCAACATTCTACCACATAAAGGTACATGTAATATTATTAAGGTTGCGTGCATAGACATCACAAAGATAATTATAGGAACCAAGTCATGTTGAGATATATCTTCACAACACAGTGGGAACTGATTCTATTCGATTCAGACAGAAAGCTAAAAATTAATCTGCCAAATTGTTTTAACATGTTCAGTCAATCTGTCAATATGTATTTTGGTCTGCAATTTCTCCGTCTGATAATTCTCTATAGACAATTTGATTTTCTCAATCATTGATACATGTATGCATTGAGCATGTAGATATGTCGTGGTTATACAAATATTTTGCAAATGTCAATTGTTGTGAAAATCTTTCATCATAATTAGTTCTACTATGTCCGAAGACTATAACATGCTTGCAATCCCATTGTAAAAGAAGTGACGACCAAAATCTTGTTTCACATGCTGAGCATCTTAAAAAATGTTCAAGTAATTTGATGAATTTGTATTTGTTTTTAAAACTAATAAAAAACCCTTCCATTGTACATCTAAGTCACGTCATCGTATCCCAATTGCATGGATCGATGCCAATGATATCAATCACGGGATTGTCTGGTCCAAGCTCGATTATTTACATACTGCTGTCATATAGCTTCAATATTGCTGAGTGCGGCGTTAAAAAACAAACAAACAAACAAATCAGATCCCCACGAGTTCGACACAACGAGGTAAGACTGTATGTTACTATGACTGAAAACGTAAATTTTGCCATATCATTGAGGAGGTAAGCTCACCTGAAGAACAGTGACTCTTCCACTTACCACATATTCCACATTCGTCTGAAAATACGTATTCTCGCCAACATCAATGGTGAACTTCACATATTTTCCTTCTAGTGCTATTTCAATAGAATGGCTATTAGTTGAATTGTCGCAGTTGCTGAGAAGGACCTGTCTTTCAGTTGGCTTGGCTGTTTCTGCTTCTTTAAACTTGAATATGATGGCAAGACCTCGTGTGTAATCCACGTTATTAAAAGATGCAATGGCAACATGGCTTCTACCATTGAAGTTGAGCTCCAGTCCATCACTTGTTACGTTGACCACCTCCATGAAGACATCATGCCGTGTGATTGATCCGAGGCCCTTCGGTTTGCCATTTACAACAGTAATGTTGATGTGAGGGTAACATGTTGAGACAGTGCCTTAAACATAAGAGCCTTGGAATTGAATATGTAGGTGATGTGTGGCAGTCCATTGTTTTAAATGAATGATGCAATTGATAAACAAAACTGTCGGGCGAAAGAATTTAAACACCCATTTTTTAAAGCGAGCGGAATTGGTTATTCGATGGTGTTGTATTTTATACGGGTATCATAGGCGATTTGGCATGCATAACATCAATGAGTAACTCGCAACAGGTGATGTGCACATGAAGTCTCAAGGAACATGGAGTCACAATACACTCATGACATTTGGAATTGCGAATCCGCTGCCACTCGTCTAGCACTGCGGCTGTCAGCTGTTGGGGTTCCTGTGGTAGATGGGGACGCCCCCTTCACTGATGATCTACACGATCTACCACAATTGGTCAGTAGAGTTTAAGTCTGGTGTGTTGGCCGTGGAAAAACAGCGACGTTGTCCGCGTCCAAAATACCCCGGACGACCCTTAAATGTTCACTGTTGCAGTTGGCAAAGAAAAGACAACACCACGGGTTGAGTTAGTGAGTGGAGTGAGTGAGTGAGTTAAAATTTAACGTCGCATCGGCATTATTCCAGCCATACAGCGACGAGATCAAGTAATTATGTTTACAGTTCAGTCATATATGCAACGTTATATTTAAAAACATTTTATGAAACATATTTGAGCACACTGTATATAAAAACAATTCATGAAACATATTTGAGCACACTGTATAAAAAAACAATTCATGAAATATATTTGAGCATAACAATATTTTGTATACAGTTTTAAAACACGGGCTATAGGCCACCAGTAAACAAAGCTAGGCCACCTCCCTGGGGATCATGGGGACTTATAGCACCTCGGCTTCCTGCATGACACGCCAGCAGGATTTACGTCATCACTTTAGTTGCTGGTGGTTGTGCACAATACTAGCCGATATCTAAAAAATACGTAAAAAATAATAGAGGTTGGCTTAAATACACTGGTTGATGATAGTTACATCGATTATGATAGGCTTACGTGTCACACAGGGGACAATAATTTTACGATACTTTAACCTCCTGGACAGAGCCTTCAATAATGTCAGTAGATAATAGCATCACTCCAAATTTAAAAACAAGCATTTAATTATTCACAAATATTTAAAAATTATTATATAGACCGATTGCTTTCAATTAATTTAAGATGAGATGCCCGCTGACACGGGAGAAGAGATCGTTCAGATTTACGTTTTGAAGATGAATCGATTGCAAAGTCCACACAGTCAAGCAATATGCTTGACAGTGAACCTTTCATTACAAGGGATACACTTAGGAGGTTCGTCCGTATTTGTCTTAAGCAGATATTCGTCGGTAAACCGAATGTGGCCAATACAACATCGACGCAATACGACCTCGTCGGAAAACGACCTCGTCATGTCTTGACGGACAACCACAGTAGGTATGACCGACCGTTGGTTTAAATTCGTGAAGTTTATTGATTCCTACCTGGGTGTCCCACCTCTTTTGCATGAGATCCCGATTATAACTCTTGATGGTTGGTTTGAAATCAATGTACGGGATCATTAGTTGAGATAAGGGTTTGTCAGTCAAGAACTGCTTTAGCTACAGCATCGGCTTTTGAGTTACCTGTTATACCTACATGACTTGGTAACAAGCAAAAGACGATGTCACATTGGCCAGTAGAAAGATCATTATATAGTTATAAAATGCTTAGAATAATATACTAGAAGACCAACCTGTAGGTCCCGTGACCAAATCATGGAAACAAAGGTTCGAAAGTGTTTTTGAGTTTCCTGATGTATACTGAACAATTTTGACTTGGGCCGCCCGGTTGAAAATCCCGGGCATTTTGGGGAAGGGTCAACAAAGGTCAAACAGGGGTCAAAATTCAAAATTGTGTCGATATGCATATCAAATTACTCGTCCAGTCATAAGAAACCTAGAAATATATAGTTTGTTAACTTCCGACCTTAAATGGGGTAGCTATGGCCAAAAACGTTGAAAGGTCAACGCACTTTTGGCAGTCGGTGAAATTCACAAACACAGTTAACATTGTCCGATAGTCATGATTTTAGTGTCTAATAATATGTTTTCTGACATGACAAATTCAACCAAACAACTTTTAAAAGTAAAAAGGGTTACCTTGGCCTTGAAAATCATATTTCAGAATCCATTGTCCAGTAATGCTTTTCTAACCTTACTTTAGTGCACAGTTCATCATCCTACTCTGTGTCATACCGATCAGATGCAGAGTCGGAATCACTGTCACAATCACTTGAATCTAGAATCTGTGTCCGATTCTACAGAGCAGTTTGCTCTGGCATCACTCAGATGTTGAGGCAGTGCTGACTGTGAATACCGTATTGGCAAGTAGGCATTTCTGGACAATGGATTCTAAAATATGCTGCGTTATTGGCCAAGGATCCTGTTTCCAATGACTTTGCTGAAGCATGGCAACCATTTTCGATTTTCAAGGTCAAGGTAACCCTTTTTACTTTTAAAAGTTGCTTGGTTGAATTTGTCATGTCAGAAAATATATTATTAGACACTAAAATCATGACTATCGGACAATGTTAACTGTGTTTGTGAATTTCACCGATTGCCAAAAGTGCGTTGACCTTTCAACGTTTTTGGCCATAGCTACCCCATTTAAGGTCGGAAGTATAACAAACTATATATTTCTAGGTTTCTTATGACTGGACGAGTAATTTGATATGCATATCGACACAACTTTGAATTTTGACCCCTGTTTGACCTTTGTTGACCCTTCCCCAAAATGCCCGGGATTTTCAACCGGGCAGCCCAAGTCAAAATTGTTCAGTATACATCAGGAAACTCAAAAACACTTTCAAACATTGGAGGTACCACATGAAAGTGAGTGTAAATGAACTGGTTCATCTCAGAACAGAATGGGCCACACCAGACAAATCTTCCTCTGCATAAGGCCTGCCAGACACCCCCAGAGAGGGTCCCAAAATTTGGGCTTGGTTAAACATTGGAGGTACGACATGAAATCAACATAAAATGAACTATTACACTCTACTAAGTATAAAATAGACAAATCGTCTGCTGCATAAGGCCCGCCAGACACCCCCCAAATGTTGACCCTTAATGCACTCAGTGGACACTCTGGTAAAATTTAACTAGAGTATACATTCAAAGTACCAGATGAAAGTAAGTTTAGATGAACAGGTACATGTTACTGAGTACAAAACGGCCCATACCTTACAAATTTTCCTCTGCATAAGGTCCGCCATACCCCCCAGAGAGGGTCCCAAAATTTGGGTTGGGTTAAACATTGGAGGTACCACATAAAACCAGCAAAAGAATGAACAATTGCACTCTACTTATTGCACAATACCCATTGCCAGACAAATCATCTTCTGCATGAGGCCCGCCAGACACCCGCAAAAAGTTGACCCTTCAGGTATACACGGGTAAAATTGGGCTGGAATATAAATCGATTGTACCACATTAAGGTCAGTTTAAATGAACAGGTTCATATCACAGAGTACAGAATGGGCCACACCAGACAAATCTTCCTCTGCATAAGGCTTAAACATTTGAGGTATCACATGGAACCAACATAAAATGAACTATTACACTCTACTTATTACAAAATACCCATTGCCAGACAAATCATCTTCTGCATAAAGCCCGCCAGACACACCCTCACCCCACCCTACACAGTTGACCCTCTGTAATTTCAGTGTGCATAATGAAACATAGGGGACAGAAGAGCATCGGACATCAGCTCTGAGCGTCAACAAATGGTCAAATTTATGTTTTGTTCTTAAAGATGGAAGGATTTTATTGAGATTAAAATCACGTATTTATCAAATTAGGTCTCTGAATACTGGTATTGATATCATAGATTAGGCCTGTCATGAATCTGATTCTTGTGAATATATATCTGATCAGCTATGAAGTCCTCAAAGCCTGCTACAGCCTGATAGCATGGCTATGGATTCCTACAATCCCAAACATGCTTAGGTAGTCCTCAAAGCCTGCTATAAGAATGGTTAATGATAGTCCCTATTACCATTTGGAAATCTCTTGGTGATAATTGTGTTTAAAACCCTATGATCTCCGTTTATTTAGCAAGTTTTATCATCTAAAAAGCTGAATTCCGGCCAAATATGTCCATATTTATCAATTTTACATAGACGTCCTCTCTTCGTTGCGTCTGGAAAATCAAGTCTAACCCAATGCAATGTAAATGATTGGTTGCATAGATCTCGCTCGATCGTAGGCCTGCCTTGTCGCAAAAATTTAAAAATGGCTTGAAAGTTTACAAATACGTTCGTACGAGTGAGCTTCAGAAGAGGAGCGCAAATTAATAAAGTAAAGGTTTTAGAAAACGCTCTTTCTTTTTATCGTGGCGAGAAGGTTTCTTTCAAAAAATTCAAGCCAGATCTCCTTTGTGTTGACATTCCTGTAGGTTATGTGTCATCAAGCATTGTTTTATCCATGCAGCATCCATTGGTACAGTGAGCTAGTCTAATCTGGATATCTCGATAGGCCTAGCCTTTGATATAAGTCTAATGATACCATTGCATTGGGTTAGACTTGATTTTCCAGACGCGATAGTATCTCGTCAACGAAGAAGAGACGTCTATGTAAAATTGACAAATATTGAGATATATTTGGCCTGAATTAAGCTTTTTAGATGATAAAACTTGCTAAATAAATGAATTATCACCCAGATTATCGTCCTAAAACATTTCCAAGTGGTATCAGGAGCTATCATTAACCATTCTGCAACACTCAACAACAAAAGTTCCTGTGACACCAATATTTTAGTGTATTTTTTAAACAAGTAAAGTTTGGTTTTCATTATTGAGTGAGTGAGTGAGTTGGGATTTAACGGCACATCGGCAATATTTCAGCCATATAGTGACGAGATCAATTTATACATCAATAATAAATACATTTTGACAATATAAAAACCTGCCGACAAAGGACAGTAAAACAAACTATACTATCACAGGTATGAACATAAAACTAGCATCGAACTGTAAAAAGATGGAACAATACACAAGATATGATAAAACCGGGCGATTGATCGTCAACCACTGAAGATAGATCACCATACGGGGGACCATGGGGACTTATAGTACCTTTGCTACCTGCATGGACCTCAGCAGGATTTATACCATATCCTAGTCGCTGGCGAATGTGCGCATTTTTAGCCAACATTAAAAAGACAGATATTCTATGTTTAAAATAGTAGGAGAAATAAATATTCATTGAATGAAAAGGGACTTACAATATCCTCTCAGGGGGACTATAATTTTACACTACTTTAACCCCCTTCGAGGATACAGCCAATAACCAATCTCAGATATAAATTTATTCAACCTAAATTTAAAAATACTTTTTGTACAAGACATATCAACATAATTTGTTATATAATTCTATTTCTTTAAAAAAAACAAGAATTAAATAAGTACTAATGCTTTTAAAAAGATCCTTTGTCGAAGAAACTTTGAAATACTTATCCCTTGTGATGGAAAAATCCACAGTCAAGCAGAATATGCTTGATAGTTATTCTTTCATCACAAGGGATACAAAATGGAGGATCTTCACCCTTCCATAAATATTCGAGTGTATATCTGAAATGGCCAATACGACATCGTCGCATGATGACCTCCTCTAATCTGGACTGACAACCCAAGAAGGTGTAGCCGATATTTGGGTGTCCCACTTCTTTTGCATTAGATGGCGGATGTAGCATTTAATAACTGGCTTATAATCACTGTATGGGACCAGAAGTGGTGTCTCAGATTTGTTGAGTGAAGCTTTTGCAGCAGCATCAGCCAATGAGTTGCCAGTGATTCCAACATGGCTGGGCAACCAACAGAAGACGATTTCCTATTGGCCAGTAGCAAGGTCAGTATGTAGTTCAATGATGTCGAGTAAAATTGGATGTTGACACGAATTATTTTGATAAGCCTGAAGACAGGACAGAGAGTCTGAAAAAATAATAAACTTCTGATGTTTAGACTGTTTTATATATTCCAGAGCAGTTAAATTTGCTTTGATTCGGCTGTGAATATGGAAGACTGATCAGGTAATCTTGTTGAGAAAGTTCTGGATCCAACGATAGTGGCACTGGCAACAGCGTCACCATCCTTGGATCCATCTGTAAATATTGATTTGTAAGTATTGTATGTATTTCGTAATTGATTATATTCCTGTTTATACTGTAATTGATTTGTTTCTGATTTCTTTAGTTTGGTCAATGAGAAGTCTACTTGTGGCTTTACCAATTGCCAAGGAGGAGAGGAAAGCAGCCGGAAAGGAGATATTGATTCAAGGTCAATATTGGCAGCACAAATGAAAGGTTTAAGTCTTATTCCAAGAGGCGGAATAAGAGATGATTTCTTTGTGTACAAATCTTCATAACGGGGATTAAATAAACAGTTGTATGCAGCGTTTGACTTATTAGAATATAGTTTTGTGAATATTGTAGAGATAGTTTAATACGGCGTTGTTCAAAAGATGGCTCATCGGCCTCAACGTACAGACTGTCAATGGGTAAAGTTCGAAAAGATCCTAAGCAAAGTCTGAGACCTTGATGGTGGATGGAATCTAAGAGTTTAAGATTGCTTTTGCAGGCTCCACCATAAATGATGGAGCCATAATCGAGTTTAGAACGTATGAGTGATATGTACAAGTGAAGAGGAGTTGACTGGTCCCCTCCCCACTTAGAATTTTAATAGATCTAGGGCCGTCAGGCATTTTGTTTTAAAATATTTAATATGTGGTAAAAAGGTGAGATGGTGGTCGAATATTATTCCTAAAAATTTAGCTTCCTTTACAACTTTAATTGGTGTGCCTGCTAGATGTAAGTCAGGATCACTGTGTGGTTTATATTTTCGAAAGAAGTGAATGCAATTGTTTTTTGGTTTGGAAAATTTAAAGCTATTACGTTCTGACCAATCATTAATTTTATTTAGACAAAGTTGCAGCTATCTTTCAATTATGTGCATATTTTTACCTCGACATGATACATTAAAATCATCAACAAAAAATGACCCATCAACAGATTCAGTTAAAACCTTAGATAGACTATTAATTTTTATACTGAACAACGTCACTGATAATATGCTATCTTGTGGGACACCTTGGTCTTGATCATAAATATCTGAAACCCACACGAACCTCAATCTCATTAAAATCAGATCTTAGTCCTCGCTACCACTAAACAAAGATCTGAGGATATCCCATTACGGGTCACGTCAGACCGACCTTGCGCGAACTTTGACCGACAAATGGAATGACCAATCAGAAAGCAGCTTTCTCATGCTTTACGCCACTAATTTCAAATTGGCGACTACGCTTCGAAACATATTTTGACAAATTCTCGATTACAAATTTGAAACCTGAACGAAAGAAGATTCTGGAATGGTTAATAGTTGGTATAGATTATATGGATTCAGTCGTTAAACCCGTAACTATCGTTCGGAATATCCCGTGTTACTGTTTTTCGAGGTTGTATGATTAGAAATCACATTCCGACTGTCACTTTCATAATCTGGTAAGTGACGCACTGATTGGTCGGATGAAAGGTCGTTCTGACGTGACCCCTAATGTGATGTCTTCAGATCTTTGTTTAGCGGTAGCGAGAACTAAGGTCTGATTTTAATGAGATTGCACGAACCTGGAAATGCCTATTTGTTAAAAACTGTGATATAAAATTAGGTATATGTCCTCTCAATCCCATTTCATGAAGATCTTTCAAAATCCCATGTTTCCAGGTGGTATCATATGCCTTTTCCAAGTCGAAAAATATCAACACAGCGTGTTGTTTATTAATTATAGCATTTTTCACATATGTCTCCAATCTAACCAAATGGTCAACAGTACTTCTATTTTTCCTAAAACCACATTGAATATTTGTTTATTATTATTGGTTTCTAAGTACCATATTAATCTGTTGTTGACCATTCTTTCCATGGTCTTACAAACGCATCTAGTAAGTGATATTGGCCTATAATTTGACAGGTCGGTATGATCCCGACCAGGTTTAGGTATGGGAATGACAACAGCATTCCGCCAAGATGAAGGGAAATTTCCAGATGTCCATATATTGTCAAAAAGACTTAACATTACTTCAAGACATGTGTCAGGTAAATGCTTTAGTAGTTGATAATGGATATTACCATCCCCTGTAGCTGTATCATGAGCTTGCTCTAAAGCAGTGTGTAATTCATGGAGGGAGAAAAGTTCATTGTAATCCTCACCATTGTCAGAAATAATATTAATTTTCTTTTTTTCTTCAAGTTCTTTAGGTTTCTGAAATTTCAATGTATAATTTGATGAGGAAGAATGGTTAGCTAAAGATTCTCCAATTTTATTGACAATATCAGATGTATTCGTAAGCAATGTGTCACCTTCCTTTAGATGGTGAACACTAGATCTTGAACCTTTTCCTTTAATTTTTTGCACCATATTCC